TTATAACATTTATCATAATTTTTTTTTTTTTATTGGTTATAGACGTTTATATATCTCCAAGCGATTATCAATTATCGGAAGGCCATAAGAATCAATGATCCAGTTTTGAAAAGGGCCTCTAAAAGAGCTTTCTCTCCTATTTGGTCTGCGAGGCGTCATCCCATTTATCGTCTAATAGAAGTTGCAGATGAAATTCAACTGATGCGACTTCATTCTGAAATACGTGAAGTTGTGGAGAAAAATTGTGTTATTTCTCGATCGGGAATTTACAATCAACATCAAGGATTAGATGCAATTATAGAGGAAATAAATAAAACTTTGAAAGCTTTAATACCTCCCATTCCACAAGACCGTCATTGGAAGATTGCAGCGCGTAACTGTAAAAAATTTTTTGAGGTAAAGTTGATTTTAGTTAACTAATTAATTGATTGAATTCAAGAATTTAAATTTGTTAATCTATTATAGCTTAAAAACAACCTATTTAAAGTAATCGGATATAACGATTATCAATCATCAGGGCCAAGAACTTGACCAGAGCCAACTGCAGAATGTCAGATTTTGTGCTCTTCTTCGAGGTTTTAACTTCGTAAATTCAGTGAACTCGAGAACAATTTGTCGAAGTTTAGGCGAAGAATGCGAGTTGGATAAAAATTTAAAAAATTTTACAAATTTTGCAAAGCTAGCTCGAAAAAATTTTATTATCGAAACATTTATTGATAAAAATAATACATCTCAATTTAGGGTTATACCGATTACAAAACAGGAAGCTAAAGTCCAGGAAAATGAAAAAAATATGACTAAAAATAGTATTTTGTTAAAAATAGACACTCTTCTTGAACAGCTTGGCGAAGGTGTTTGAAAGAAGTATTCCGGATTAAGATCAAAAAATCACGGAGAATTATTGGAAGTTCTACAAGAAATAAAGTGCCTATTTGACCCGGACAATGAGTTCAATAACCAAGATTGTTTAGACAACTTGATGATAGACCAACAGGAATAACTGTAATGGTAGTAATGATGCATATATACGCCTCTAATCCAGGTACAGTCTGCTCTCCATACAGTCATTCTTTATATAATCACACCCTTCTTATAA